GCATATCTGCTATGACTGACTGTGTTCAAACCCCTGGGCCAGTGGCTTGAAGAACACATCAGGCACGTGTGCATGTGCACCCCAAATACTGACAGGGTGGAAAAACAGAGGAAAACAGATTACTACATGACCCTATTACCACTGGGAGTTGCTTCTTCTCTCTCCATGGCAAGCACATGCAGCCTCTGACAATGGGGAAAAAAAAAAGTAGAGATGTGTGCTTGTGCCTGTGTGCACGTAGGTATTGCCTCTCTGTCACCGTGAAGGCCTGGAAGTGGTGACGCCTCAGTACCACTGTCCACTCCTAGTGCCCACATCTGAACTGCTGAACATGCCACAGGGTTTACGGGTTTACCGTGAATAGCTATAGGATGTTAGCTTTTGTTTTGCTGTTACGAATAACATTGTTGTAAACGTCTTGCATGTGATTCCTTGTACACATGTGTGAGAGTTGTAGAGGGAGTTTTGCAGATACAAGTTTACATTTTTATCTTATATATCTCTTTTATAAAAGATGCAGGGGAGATGTGTTTTGGTATGACCATGGGTATTCTACTTTGTGCTAGTGACTTTGGGTGTTTCCTAGGAAGGAATTTTTTTTTTTTTAAGAATTATTTTATTTATCTTTATTTCTTTTTATTTTTGGTTTATTTTAATTTGACCAGAGAGGGGCAGAGTGAGAGAGAGGCAAAGTGAGAAAGCAAGCTGCCAGGTCTGGGACTCAAACCACAGTCAGTCCTGTGGGAGTCCAGCTCCCTTAACCACCACACCACCTGCTGGCCCTCCCAGGAATCTTTATGGTCCTTTTACCTTTTCCTTCTGTGTTAGCCAGCAATATCAGTGTGATACTGTTTTCATCACATATCTGTTGCCTAAGTAGTGAAGGTCCCTGGTGAGGCCCTGGGGAAAGCTAAGGCCGACAGCTCTTCCCTGAGTGACTTAGTTCTCGAGGCTAGAAATGCATTTCTGATATTTTCCAAGGCTACAGAGGAAAAGTAAAACCATCTACCTTCTTGTGTTAGTTTTCTCTTATTGTGTACCCCAAAACTTAGCAACTTAAAACCATGAACATTAATTTTATTGCAGTTTTTAAGGGTTAGGAATCTCGGAGCAGCTCAGTTGGGCATGTCTGGTGCTGGTTGTATTCGTGTTCTTGGCTCCGGTTGCCTTGTGAAGGCTTGGCTGGTGAGAGGCTCTTCTTACAAACTCACTTGTGTGGGGAACCAGCAGTTGGTGCAATGGCTATGTCACTGGACTCCCATGTAGTCGAGTCCCGGATCCGGTGGTTTAAACTCACACCGGACGTGGGTGCCTGTGTGCCCAAGATCCTGAGAGAAGAATGAAGGAGGAGGGATTGTGGCGTGGCCATCCCCCCGGGGGGTGATTTCTCACTTTCTGTTTGTCTTTCTCTGTCTTTCTAGTAAGCGCACATGCCCTATAGCAAAAAAACTCTCAAAACAAACCCACTTGTGTGGCAGTTAGCAAGAGGCCTCAGTTTCATACTGTCCAGACTTCTCTCCAGGGCTGCTTACAACATTCTCCCAGAGCAGAAGATCAGAGAGAGAGAGCGTCATCTTAATTGCACACAAACAAGATGGACGCCCCAGTGTCTCTCATCCTTAGGATCTCAGAAGTGACACACTGTCGCATCCTCTGTGCTCTTTTGGATACACAGACCTACCCAGGTACCACGTGGGAAAAGACTACACAAAGAATGTGACTATGGGGGGGGGGAGCTTTGGGCCACCCTGGAGGTTGACTGCGATACTTCTCAACTCTGAATGTCCTCAGGTTGATTCCATTGTTACCAGATGGTGCACAGGTACTTGACAGGGACGTGAAGGATGTTAGAGCCCTGTCAGGCAGTGAGAAGGCAAGGGAGCTCACAGCTTGGCGTTGAGTGAAGACCATGAATTCAGTAAGCTGATCCAGGAAGAAGCTGTCTGGGTTTTGGGACATCACCTGAGGGATTTCAGCAACTCATATTCGTGGAAGTAGGATCAGAGAAGGGCTTGAGCCAACTCAGCCCTATCTGTCTTCAGGGACTGAGACCAAACATCCTGCCCAGGAGGTGGTAAAACCTTGGCTGGCCACTCTCATTCCCAGATTCAGAGCTGTGTGGGTTGTTGGTAGCCGTGTGGTCACAGGTCTGCTCTGTATATTTGAGAAAAGTGGGGATTATTCTTGCTTGATGATGTGGAGTGAGAAAGAGAATTTTCTTGCACATGAGAACTAGAGGGACCCTCTGGTCAGAATCGCTGAGGAAATCAGGCAGGGGAACCTTTCAGCTTTGTAGGGAGTTGGGTTTATATCTTCTCAAGTC